ATTTTAATGGGGGATTGGCTTGAATCTATAAATTGCTTTAAGTAGTATGGACATTTGATGATGTTAATTCTTCAACTCATGAACATGGTATATTCTTCCTTTTGTTTTTGTCTTCCTTAATTTCTTTCTTCAGTGTTGTGTAGTTTTCTGAGTATAGGTCTTTTATCTCCTTGGTTAAGTTTATTCCTAGGTACTTTATTTTTATTGTTGCTACAGTAAATGGGTTCTTTACCCCTGATTTCTGATTCTGATATTTCATTGTTGGTGTACAAAAGTGCCTTCAATTTCTGAATATTGACTTTGTATCCTACTGTCTTTCCAAATTCACTTAGGTCAAGTAGTTTGTTGGTGGAGTGTATATTCTATGTACACCATCTGCAAACAATGACAGTTTTACTTCATCCTCTCCAATTTGAATGCCTTTCATTTCCTTTTCTTGTCTGATTCCTATGGCTACGACTTTCAACACTGTGTTGAATAAAAGTGGTGAAAGAAGACAGTCTTGTCTTCTTCCTGATCTTACTGGGAAAGGTTTTAGTTTTTGCCCATTAAGTATGGTGTTGGCTGTAGGTTTTATATATGTTACCTTTATTATGTTGAAGTATACTGCTTTACTCCCATTTTTCTGAGTGTTTTTATCATAAATGGGTGCTGTACCTTGTCAAATGCTTTGTTTCACATCTATTGATACAATCATATAGTTGTCTTTCCTTTTGTTTATATGATATATTAGTTTTATTGATTTGCAAATATTGAACCATCTTTGCATCACTGGGATGAATCCCACTTGATCTTTTTAATTTATCATTGGATGCGGATTGCCAATATTTTAGGATTTTAATGTCTGTGTTCTTCAGCGACATTGGCCTATAGTTTTCTTTCTTTCTTGGCTTTATTTGGTTTTGGGATTAGGATGATGCTGGCCTCATAAAAAGAGTTTGGGAGTCTTCCCTCTTCCTGGATTTTTTGGAATAGTCTGAGAAGGACAGGGGTTAGCTTTTCCTTCATGGTTTTGTAAAATTCTCCTGTGAAACTGTCTGGTGTAGGGCTTTTGTGTGCCAGGAGTGTTATGATTACCACTTCAATTTCACCAGCTGTTATTGGTTGGTTCAGGCTTTCTGCTTCTTCTTCATTCAGTATTGGAAGGTTATGTTTTTCTAGAAGTGTCCATTTTGTTGAGGTTTTCAAATTTCTTGGCATATAATTGTTCATAGTAATTTCTTAGAATCCTTTATATTTCTATGGTGTCAGTTGTTATTTCTCCTCTTTCATTTCTGATATCATTTATTTGGGTCTTCCCCCTTTTTTTCTCGATGAGTCTGCTTAAAGGCTTGTTGATTTTGTTTATCTTTTCAAAGAACACGCTCTTGGATTTATGGATCCTTTGAATTGTTCTTTAGTCTCTATGTCATTCAATTCTGCTCTTATCTTGATTATTTCCTTTTTTCTACTCACTCTGAGCTATGTTTGTTGTTGCTTCTCCAGTTCTTGAAGATGTAGGGTTAGGTCATTTATTTGAAATGTTTCTATCTTTTTTACATAGGCCTGTATTGCTGTGAACTTCCCTCTCAGGACTGCCTTCACTGTGTCCCATAGGTTTTGCACTGTTGTGTGTTCATTTTCATTTGTTTCCAGAAAATTTTTGATTTCTTCTTTGAACTCATTATTGACTTATTCATTGTTTAATAGCATCCTATTCAGTCTCCATAAGTTGGAATGTTTTTGAGTTTTTTTCCTTGAGGTTGGTTTCTACTTTCAGGCCCTTGAGGTCTGCGAAAATGCTTGTTATGATTTCAATTTTCTTGAATTTGTTGAGACTTGTTTTGTGTCCTGTCATGTGATGTATCTTTGAAAATGTTCCATATGTATTTGAAAAGAATGTGTATTTTGCTGATTTCAGATGGACATTATAAATGTCAGTTAAGTCCATTTGATTTAATGCACTGTTGAGTTCCACAATATTCTTGCTGATATTTTGTTTGGAAGATCTATCCATTGTTGACAGTGGGGTGTTAAAATCCCCTACTATCAGTGTATTGTTGTCTATATCTTTCTTGAAGTCCTCCAAGATTTTCCTTATATATTTCAGTGCTTCTATGTTGGGTGCATATAGGTTTACAATGTTTACGTCTTCTTGATGGATTCTTCTTTTGAGGAACTTGAAGTATGCTTCCGGGTCTCTTTTTATGTCCTCTGTTTTGAAATCTATTTTTTCTGATATAAGTATTGTTACCCCAGCTTTTTTTCTTGTCCATTTGCTTTGAATATTTTTTGCATCCTTTTACTTTGAATGTGTGTAGGTCTTTTGTTCTGAGTTGGGTCTCTTCGAGGAAGCATATGTGTGGGTCATGTTTACTTATTCTTTCAGCTACCTTATATCTTTTGATTGGAACATTCATCCAATACATTTAAAATTATCATTGATAGGTACTTACTCATTTTTTTCCCTTTGTACCTGTGGTCTTCTCTTTCTCACTCTTTTTCTTCTTAAAACAGTTCTTTTGGCATATCTTGCAGTGCTGGTTTGGTGAAGGTGTATTCTTTTAGCTTTATTTTGTCCGGGAAACTCATTATTTTGCCTTCCATTTTAATTGAGAGCCTTGTGGGGTAAAGCAGTCTTATTTGCAGGCCTTTGCTTTTCATTTTTGTAATATTTCTTGCCATTCCCTTCTGGCTTGTAGTGTTTCTGTTGAGAAGTCAGCTGCTAGCCATATCGGGGCTCCTGTGTATGTTACTCCCTCTTTCTCCCTTGCTGCCATTAGGATTCTCTGTTTGTCTTTGGTATTTGCCATTGTAATTATGATGTAACTTGGAGTGGGCCTTATTGGGACCCTCTGTGCTTCCTGGACCTGTGTGACTTTTTCTCTCCTCCAATGAGGAAAGTTTTCCATCATTACTTTTTCAAATAGTTTCTCTATCCTTTGCTCCTCTTCTTCTCCTTCTGGTATCCTTATTATATGGATATTGTTATGTTTCCAGTTGTCCCGCATTTCCCTAAATGCCTCTTCATTCTTTTTTGCGTCTTTATTTCGTTGTCTTTCAAAAGCTCTCTTTCTGGGATTTTCATTCTACCTTGTCCTCCAGATTGCTGATTTGATCCTCTGCTTCATCTAGCCTGCTTTGGATTCCTTCTACTGTGTTCTTTAATTCAGAAATTCTATTTTTGTTTCCTCTTCTTTCTCATTGATAGTTTCTCTGTCCTTTTTAATGGTGATATAGTTTGCATTAAGTTCCTCACAGTTTCTTTGTGGTTTTTTAAATTCACTCTGAGCTCACTGAGGTCATTGAGCTTTCTTATAACCATTGTTTGGAATTCAGTATCTGATAGTTTACTTGTCTCTAGTGCATTTAGTCCTTTCTCTGGGGATTCTTCCTCTCCTTTCGATTGGAGGTTGTTTCTTTTTCTTCTCATTATTTGGTTGACTCTCTGGAAGTATTGGGTTTTGATTGTTGTTTGTTCATTTTTTTGGTGGGTCCTACCCTCTAGCCAGTTGACTGAGGGTCACTCTGCCCACTTAATCTTGCATGTTTTTGTGCAGGTGCTGCCAGAACAAAACCAAAAAGCCCAGGAAACAAACCCACATCCACAGAAATAACTCCCCCTACAATCCCATTATCAACAGCAAATGAACCAGATTAATAAGGCTGCAAAGAGATTAATACTATTTTAAGAAAGGGGAGAAATAATCTATTTATTTCTAGTGTAAATAGTATAGTATATAATCTAGTATAAAATCTAGTGATGTAATAAGCACAGACTTGATGGATCTGAAATGAACATTAAAGAGCTATATAATAAAGAAAATATCGCAACTCATGGAGAAGACCACAGTGGATTTTTGTCTTGGTAGCCTCTAGTATTTACTGCTATTTTTTCTTTCTGGATCTGCCTCTGATTATGTCAGATGTTGACCCCGTCTTACTGTAGGTAGTCTGTTTGAGACTTCCAGGAATCTACTGTTTGTGGCTGTCTCCTTCAGTTGTTAATCTAGTCACTCTGCACCCAGCAGTCATGCTTAGGCATCATGGGGTGTGGCAGAGTCCCTCCTGGGGGCAGGACTGTTGTTTCCTCTCATGCTGCTCCTGCTGCTGCTTAGGGGAGTGGTCTTCTTGAGCAAAATAGCTGCTGCCATATGGGGGATGACTCAGCACCTGGACCCTGCTGGCTATTCCCGCAGTTCTCTCCTCAAAGCTTCCTTCCCTAGTCTTTCCTCAGGTGCCCCTTGCTCACTCTGCCCCCACCTTTGCTGGAGCCCAGGATAAATGGCTGCAAATAAAAATTTATACACTGGCCCTTTAAATGGCTCCTTGCGTCTCCAGCCACCTGTCTCTGGCAGAGAGCAACCTTGCCACTTTTTGCAGCTGGCTGTTATCTGTGTACTTTTTGCGCTCTGGTGCTGTAGGCTGGAGATCCCCACTTATGGATTAGACCCCACTCTTCTCAGGGGACCCAAGTGGCTGTTTAAATATCCCTCTGGCGCTGCTGCCCATGGGTGCTCAGCCAGCTTTCTTGAGTCTCCATTGCACTCTTTATGAGTCAGGTTGTGCTAAAGCTGATTCTTGTCTGTCCGAGGTTATAAGGCTCATCTTTCTCTGTCGTTCAGTTTCTTCCAGGTGATTTCTTCACAATTTAGTTGTATTCCAGATTGGTCCTGGGAGGTCAGTGTGACTTCCATTCACTCCTCTGCCATCTTTCCCAGTCCATCAGGCAAATAATTTCCTAATCTGTGATCTTTTCCCCCTCTTTTACTGTTTCCTGAGAATCCCTGAGAACCAAATTTTGGGTGAAGGTTAGGAAGCTTTTTCTAGGGGCAGGAGGTGTCCCCTATGAAGGGAGCAACCTTGCTCCCTGTCACTGGACTGGCACCTGCAGAAATAGGGACTGTCATACTGAAATATTGGGGTGAGAGGGTAGTGAAAATGAATGCTCTTGTATATTTTTAAACCATAATATTTCTTTGGTTCAAATAACACAGCAACTTTCCTCTTCATCTTGGCAGCCTGAGGAGAAAGCCCGATAAACCAACCAGAAATAAGATTCTACATGAAGACATATGTAAAGGTAAGAACATTCTCCCAAACCTTATTGGCCTGGGCAGCCTGCTCTCTTACAGGGCAGCCTTTAAATGTTTGTGTTACTAAAGCTTATAAGGGATGATATTGCGGACATGGTGCCTGCTTATTCTCAGGCTTCTATGAACATTTTCCTTCCTCACACTCCATCTGTGAAAGTTGCTAGGCAGCAAGGAGATAAAAGTGTTAGGGGGTGTGACTTTTCTTGCAACCCTTTGTGTTTCTACCTACACCGAGCAAAGCTTTCCTGTGGGGATTTTTCTTCAAAAGCAAAGTATTCTTGTCTTTGCTTCTCTGCCTGCATTATTAGTAATAATGGAATGGCCCAGTTTTCTAAGGCTACCAAACCAAGGGAACACACCTCTGCATTTACCTGCTGGTGCTGAACCTCCTGCCTGGAATGCCTCCCTATCCAGTTGAAGGGCTTTGGAGGTTGCCGAGTGCAGGCCTTGGTGCTGATGCTTTGAAGGGAGCTGATTTACTGCCAGACTTTCTCTTGTGAAGCACTGAACTTCTATTCCCACCCAGGCACTGCTTTTTGTATAACAATGACACTATTAGTCTGCTATCAGCTGGATTTGTCTTTTTGAACAGTTGTGGTGATGGGTTTATTCTTACCTCTTCTTGATCTAGCAACTAGAGTATAGTTGAAACCTATGAGCTGCTTTAGGAGCAAAATACTTGATTCTCCTGTTCTTTAACCAGTTCAACACAAAATTAAATACTACTTCTATTTTATTCTTTGTCTTAATTTCCCATTATACTATACTAAAAATTTCAAGGAACTTATCACAAACTGTCTTTGTAGCTGTCAGTGAGCATATTTTATTTTGCTTGGTTTTAAAAATCTCTTTGTGGAAGCAGAGTACTTAGCTGAATACCTTTTATAAAGTAATCACATAACAGCAACTGAGTGATTGAACCCTAACTTTTGTTGCTGTTTAACAATGCATTGTTACCATCTGAGCCAACCAGCCACTGGACAAAATAGTGTATTTCCACTAACTTCCATCTTAGGGCTAATGTGAGCATGTAATAAATATTTTGTTTTGTTTTGGAACATGATATGGGGTACCTTTCCCAGCTGTCTGAGAGCTGGGAGTAGAACTGCCAACACCATATCTGCCGCTCTCCCTTTTCTGTTCCCCATGGCTTCACCTCCCCTGGTAGCCTATTTTCTTGTTAGGTTGCAACCCGGCAGTGTATAGGTACTTCTTATACACCCACGGGTCATTCTATTGCTTTGACCATTTTATATTTTTAGGTTAACTCTGTCAAAGGTCTTAGTGCCAGCACACAATAGCCTCCAAATAATAATAAACGATCATATGATTGAATTCACAGAGTCCACTTTACTTAGAGTCATTTCTACCATATATGCAATGAAAGTTTCTTCTATTTAAGTAATGACTTGGGAAACTTCTTGAGGTTTCTATTGGTTAATCATTCAATTAGGATTTTTTTTTAACTTGATAAATATACCTTCTGCCACTACCCACACTATGGAAAATACAGAAAAAGTAAGTTCCTTGAAGAAATGTCCAAATCTATTTGGTTAGGCAACATATACCCATATAAAATACAATGGTTCCTCCCCTTATCCACAGGGGATGTGTTCCAAGACCCCCCAATGGATGTTTGAAATAATGGATAGTACAATATACATCTATTCTCTGTGTTTTCATATACATATCTCTGATAAAGCATAATTAATAAATTTGTCATGGTAAGAGATTAACCATTGTAACTAATAATAGAACAATTATAACAATATACTGTAATAAAAATTATATAAATATTTTCTCTCAAGATATCTTTTGTATTGTACACACCCTTCTTTTTGTGAGGATGTGAGTGATGTGTGATGAGATTACATGAGGTGAATGATGCAGGCATTGTGAAGAAGTATTAGGCTACAATAAGGATTACTTGAACACAGGTGCTGTGATAACTCGGTGGTGAGCTGGTAATAAGTCCTCCAAGTGACTAAAGTGTGGGGAGCACATACAGTATGGATACAATAGGCAAAGGATGATTCATGTTCCATGTGGAACAGAGCAGATGGCATGAGATTTCATCACAACTCAGAAAGGCATGCAATTTAAAATTTATGAATTGTTTATTTCTAGAAATTTCCATTTAATATTTTTGGTACAGTTGACCATGGGTAACTGAAAACTGTGGAAAGTAAAACCTCAAATAAGAAGGGAATCCTGTACTCAGTGAATGAGATGTTGGTATATAATCAACACATATACAAATTATATAATCAACATTATCAACTACTCTAAAGAAACTCTTCATTGGTGATCCTGATGCCACAAGTCTCCAAGAAGAACGAATTGGGATTGGGTGAGGGTTGTCTCCTCAGTGACACTCACTGTGTAGCTCTGGTGTGATTTCAGCTGGGAACCAAGGAGTACTCCTTGTCATCGCAAAGGTTTCGAAGCCTTGGGAAGAGCAGGCACTGCACAGGAAGCCTGAGGCTGACAGTGTGAGGTACCCTCCTCCTGTAGTATGTAGGAAGTCAACACTGAGAAGGCTGAGGCACAGGACGTGAGCTCACTTGTTCCTAAACATGGATGAGGCTCTCTTTGGGTAGCCCAGGAATAAATGGGGAAGGTGAGGTTTGCACTAGCGGGTGTGGTTATGATCCAGGAAAATTGGGGCATTAATATTACCTTAATGTTAATTGAGCCTACAGGATGGTTGAGGCTGAGAATATTTCATTAGGTTTTCATAAAATAACTCTCACTTCTCTTTCTTCCTTTCCATTCCTGTTGCTATGATAAAAATTAAAGCTTTTACTATTTCAATGTCTAGGCTCTTATTTGTATCAGGCTCATCACTGGTCTCCTTTTCCTTGTCTTAGCCCCAATTCATTTTGTTTTGTTTTAATTTTTTGTTCCAAATTAATCTTTCTAAAATGCTGCTTTTGTCATGTTTTTAGAAACTCTTGAAAATAAATGGGCACACTCATTATAGTATCAGGATCGAAGCGATGGGATGATAGAGAAGATGAGGATGGAGGGAGCATCTCTCCTTCCCTGTTCTCCAGCTCTCTCCTCACTCTCACCTCACAGACATACAAAGAAAACGTGACTTTCTTGACAATCCTGACATGTTAGTTGAGTTCAACCTCATCTCTAGCTTGTTTGTTTTTAAACTTATTTAAGAATAAGCAAAGAGCACTGAGAAAACTCATAAGCTAATGCTGTTTAACAGCTAACTTCTTAAGGTAAACCTTCATAAAAATCAGTAGCAAAAATTTGCTGTCCATAGATCTTAAAGAAGTGTTCTTTAGGGGGAAAAAATCTGTGGAAGAGCAAGGGAGTATGGAATATGGAAAAGAAAGAGGCAAATCAAGGAATGTATTTTCTGGGAAAGTGTAGCTCTTCCATGGGGTGAGTGAGGAACAGTCTGGGGCAAAAAATCACACTCTTGTACCCCCATACACTGTTAATCTTTAGCAATGTTGATAGTGGTGGAGAAGAGGGAGCTGTAGTCTTCTGGGCTAGATAGTTCCTCTTGGCTGAGGGCAAATTTCCATACAAGGGATGCCTATGAGCTATTATCAGCCAATACTTATAGCAGCTGAGGGAATGGATACACAGCCCAGTAGTCAGATTTGAGTGGAACACTAACAGCATCTACTACAGTCCACCCTATTCAGATTCACTGCTCATGGTAACCTTAAGTTTATCTCACTAAAACATAAATTCTACAGGATTCTGGTTGGCCACAGTTTCTAGAAAAACATAGAGAAGGTCAGAGAGAAAAGTGTAGCCATACTGGTGTTACTAGTCCTGATGTCACAACTAATACTCACCGCCTGCCTCCTTTACCATTCTCCTCACCTCAGCTCTCAACTTCTGATGCTCTAGATGGCTTGTTTGGTAGGATGACCTAAACTCTCATTTCTAAGGGATCTGAGCCCAACAATCAAGCTTATGTTCTTCTTCTCTTTTGTCAGCTGATCACTGGGGACTCCCTCATCAGGTCATGGGTGTGCACCAAGGAAAAGGCATCAGTGCAATGTTGGTAAGTGTCACAGAAACCTGGGTCTCCTGCTCTTGCTGCTGATTTGTGACCTGTGGACCTGCTTGAGCCTAATCCCAGATGTGCCACTTTAATCTCATGGTTGATTGCTTCTGAGCCTATGTGGGTCATGATGGGTATTTATGGTACATGGTCATATATGGTTACTCGATATCCAGTGATAAGATGCTCCATCTGTAGCATGCCAGGGGCTTCTTCTCAAATGGTGAATAATTCCCTATACACACAGAATCCTAATGATCTGTATGGTGACCCTCTTCTTGTAGTTTGCCTGAGACTCCACAAGCCACCTTTTTCTACTCCAAATACCGTTGCCTCTGCCAAGTAGCATGGCCTACATGTCAGGGTTGCTTGTACTACAGTCTGAACCAGCTACTAATCCCTTCCTTAATTTGGGTCCCATTCAAAAACTGGAAGCCTTCAAAATCACTTGATAAAAATGTGAGAGCGGTGTTCCTAAGTATGAACAATACTACCCACAATGTCCAGAGGCATTGTTTATTCCTTAGTAGGAGGAGGTACAAGGTGTAATGAATTGTCCTTTACTTTGAAGGTAATTTCCTAGAATGCCCCAGAGCACTGGCTTCAAAACTTTGGAGGTAATAGGACTCTGGATCTTTGTAGGGTTTATTTCATACCCTGTGGAGCCCATATATCTTACAGACACATCAAAAATACATCATGTTATCAGGTCTATTAACATGATGTCATCAATATAGTAGATAATTGTCACGGTCTACAGAATGTCTGGATGTTCTCTTTGGCACTATGATGTGACAGCGAGCAGGAGAATTACTAGTCTGGGACAAGATCATGAATGTACATTGTTTTCCATCCCATAGGAATGCAACCTGCTTCTGATCTTCCCTCCTGATATGTATGGGGAAGAGTGCATTAGGGAGAGAGAGGAAGAGGAGGACTACATGAAAGGCGAAGGGTTTGGCCAAAGAACATACATGTGTAACCCATAGACCCAGACAACAGTGTGGTGATGGTCAGAGGGAAGGGGGCTTGGAGTTGGGTGGAGGTGGGCAAAGAGGGGTGGGGGAGTGGGGACATCTGCAGTAGTGTCACCAATAACAATAAAAAGGGGAAAAAAGCATTTTAAAAAAGAAGGCATTAGCCAGATTAATAGCTGCATACCACCCTTGATAGCCTGTGTTAATCTTTTTTAGTAAAGGTCACCACAGCTGGCACAATAACTGCTATTGAGGCTCCTACTTGATTAAGTTTATGGTAGTCCACTGCTGCCCAACATGATTCATCAGGTTTTTGTAGGGTCATTCGGGTGAATTAAATGAGAATATAAATGGGGACATGGACCATCAGCATTGTGCCAGTTAAGTCTGAGTGATCTTATTCTCTCTCATCCCCCAGGAAACAATATGGTTTTTAATGTATTATTTTGACTAAATGTGGAGGTAATTTCAGGGGCTTCCATTTTACCTTTCCTACTACAATTCTTTTATTCTCCTGTTTAAGAAACCAAGGTGCAATGTGAGAGTTTTATATGTTAGTGTGTCATTTTATTTACACATTTAGGAACTAAAGAAATGATCACTAGGTAGCTCCATGGATCTAGTAGGCCCACTGTGAGATGGGTAGGATTGGGTCAGAAATCCATTTATTACCTGATCCCAAATATCTTTGCTGTAACCGGAGGTCAGACTGGTGCTTTGGTTCTCTGGACATAAATGTCACCTTTAAAGACCTGGGTCCTTGACTTCCTCCCAACATATGGTTATCTGAGTAAATGATCATAGACCTCTTTCAGGAAAGACTCTGGGAATCACTGCTATATACATTTACTGTGATAATGAAGCTTCTTTCCTATATGTCTCATTTTTATATTATTTAAATCTTATAAAAATTTGCAAGAATAATACAAAAATTTCTTGGATATCTTTTACCCAGATCTCCCATATATTAACATTGTACTACATTAGCTTATCTTTTTCTCTACAAATAGATATAGATAATACACACTTTTTTCCTGAACTATTTAAGACTAAGTTGCAGCATCATTCCCCTTTATTTATAAACACTTCTGTGTATATTTTCTGAAAACAAAGAATTTCTTAAATAGCCATGGTACATGATCAAAATCAGAAAATTAATATTACTATTGATATATGGTAACATTGATGATACGATATTATAAACTACAGATATTATTTAGATTTTCCCAATTGTCCCAATAACATTCTTCATAGTAAAAAATATCCAAGGTCATGAATTGCATTTAGTTGTGATATCTCTTTGGTCTCCTTTAGTCTACAGCAGTTTCTGAGTCTGTCTTTGTAGTTCATGAAACTGACATTTTTGAAGAGTACAGATCCATTATTTTGCAGAATGTCTCTCAATTTGGGTTGGCCTGCCTCATGATCAGATTCAAGTTATGAATTTTTGGCAGAACTACCACAGAAGTGGCATTGTATCCTTCTCAGCATCATAGCAAGAGACATGTGCTCTAGATTAGTCTCATTACTGGTGACAGACCTCCTGAAAGTCATATCCTTTGGCTCCTATCAGGAATGGCCATTCTTCAGGACAGCATCACAGTGGCTGTCCTTGGATGGAAGGATCTCCTTTTGCTGCTAATCTGGGGATTCCCTGTGTTTCTCCCCTGCGCTGGATCTCATGCTTCCTGAACTTTCCATCCGCCTGTTTCCTGGTTTACTCTGTTGTTCTGCTGATACACAGACCCTAGTACCTTCCTGAAAAAGATTACAAGGAAGGCAACTTTTTGAGATTTTATCTATCTGAAAATACTTTTATTTTGCTCTTAGACTTGACTATCTGGGTATGGAATGTTAGGCTGGAAGTCAGTTTTCCTCAGAATTTTACTGTTTCCTTTTATTTTAACATCCAGTGTTAATATATCAGATGCTATTTTAATTTCCAATTTTTATTTTGATCTTTCTCTTCCATCTCTGGAAGATTTTAAAAGAACTTTCTGTCTAATATTTTCCTAAAATTTCACATTATGGCCCTGGCTGGTGTGGCTCAGCAGATTGAGTGCCAACCTGTGAAGTGAATGGTTGCTGGTTTGAGTCTCAGTCAGGGCACATGCCAGGGTTGTGGGTAGGTTCCTGGTTGGGGGTATGTGAGAGGAAACTGATCTCTCACATCATTGTTTCTCTCCCTCTCTTTCTCCTCTCTCTAAAAAATAAATAAATAAAATATTTAAAAACATAAAATTTTACATTCAACCCCCCCCCCCCCCCATTCATTCTGTTATAACTCGATATGTACTTACAGTCTGGAAACTCCTATTCTTTATTTATTGAACACTTTTTCATTCCTTTCATCACTTCCTCCCTCTTTCTTTTCTAAAATCCTTCTTAATTTGAGTAATTGGCTTTTGAGACCAATTTCAAGTTTTGTTTTTCACACTTTGCATCTCATTTCATTTTGTTCTGTTTTCTGGGACATTCACTTTGGCTTTCAAACCTTCTATATGGATTTATAAAATTACTCCCCTCACTTCATTTTCCCTTCTTTTTCTCTGAATATTCATTATTCTTTTTCAGCATCTTGTTTATAGCATAATGGCTATGAAATATTTTCTGAGGTTGTCTGATGATATTTACTGTACTGCATTAGACTCTTTCTTTCTGGCTCCCTGCACTCTCTTTTTTTTATTTGACTCACTAATTTTCTTTCATGTTAGAAGCTGTCCTGAGCTATCTGGTGATTCTTGGGCCATCCCTTCCTATTTAAAGAGTGAGGTCTGTCAAATCTGGCCATGGTTTTATTTGTAGTCTGGGCTCTTTGGCTGAGTATCCTTAGGGGTCTTTTCTATTGAGTAGTCATTTTTCTTTTTTCCCAGAGGGTACCATTCATCTCTTGCTTTTAAAATATACATTTAGCTGCCAATGAGTTTGGAGACATGGATAAAGGGAACTTGAGGTCTCTGATTTGATATGAAGTTTTCCACGTATTGTAATACCCCTGTCGTCAGAATGCTACCTCTGACCTCAGCTATAGTTGGTATCACCCAAATCCAGAGCATCAGACGCAGACAGGGTTAGGAAAGGACTGTCACAAGCCAGCACTGAGAATGGGTCAGGCTGCTGTTGGAGCAACATTCAAACTGTTGAAAGCATTCCTGCCTTCAACTCTACCTGCTACACCCTGCATTCAGGGGTTCTTGGTGCCTCCTGTTCCCTGAGTCTGTTTTTTTCAGGGCAGAGGTCCTGCCAAGAGGACTAGCTTGCTTCTGGGTTTCTCCCATTCCCAGCTCACCTTTCAACGTTCTTTAGTCTGCTAAGTCAGACACTATTTGTACAAAAATTTTGTTGGTATTACCTATTCTCCTATTGTGTTTGTCCTTATTTTATGCCTTTAAAAAATCCTCTGTACCATAATTTTAAGCACTAGCAGAAGGGAATGGATGTGTTCAATTATCATATTTAACTGGAAGCTTCTTTCCTCTAAGATTTCCTACAGATTCCAGGACAGATTAGACTTTACTTTTTACTAAAGTCTCAGAGCACTTTATGCACATTATTTACTGTGCTCATTAATTTTGCATTTACTATATACTCTTTGTTTTCTAAGTTTTGTGCATGGAAGGCCTAGCTTCCCTAACTAAAGTGTAGGTCTTTTTATGACAAAATATTAAATTGCCTTGAATGATTTTTTAGATTTTTAGGAAGCAGGGCTTTTTTTCTCTTAGAAGTAACACAATTTTAAAAATAAGATTAGGATTTGACAGACTTTATATATTAATGTAGCAGTTTATAAAGGCTGTAAATTGAGCTCATGGCTACCTCATTCGGCAGTCATGGAAACTCTAAAAATCAAACGCATTACACTTAGAATCGTATTTTCAATATTAACAGGAAATCTTTATATGAAGGAGGTTATCAACCTTATTTTATATTAGAATCCAGACTTTCATATATAACAGTTTCTTAATCAATTCATAAATGCTTAACACGGACCTCATGCGCTGCTGTGCTGATGCTAGTGGGATA